ATGAGCCGCCATGGCCACAGTGCTGGCAGCGTCGGACGTGGACAAGGTCGTCTTTGACCAGTGTCAGTTTGGGCTCCGAGGTCGTCGCGGAGGCATTTCGAAGTTCTCCTGGCCGGACTCCGACGCCCCAGACATCTTCGCGCAGTTCGCGAACCTCAGTTGCCTAGGCAAGTGCGCCCGCGTCCGCGTCGAGGCTGAGGACAGCTTCGACGCCCAGATTTGGCCATGGAAGATGGCCGAGCGACTCGCCCTGGGCATGGTGGACTTACGTCGCCGTCTGCGGCGCTCGCACTTCGTGGACTGCCTTCGCGAGCGCGACGCCCGATCGGCAGTTTCCCAACAGTGGCCACTGGCGTCACGGAGGGCAAGACTCGCACACGCACCCCAGGGATCCAGCATCGCGCCGCTCTCCTCACAGCGCCCCACTCAACTGGGAGTGCCTCGCCTGCCAGGTGGACGAGGAACGCGGCGACTCCACGCACGCACGCGAGCACGGCAAGCGCAGGTTCGCGGACCCTCACGGTTGCGCCCACGCGCCAGCCAGCAACCACGAGCACCAGCACGACCTGGAGGACCACATCCCTCCAGCTACCAGCATGCTCAACTACCAAGCGGCGCAGACCTTGGAGCAGCAGACGAGGCTGCTCCTCCACCCACCCGGGTCCGCAGGAGAATCGGGAGCCAGAGTCAGGAGCCCGTTCGATCAGGGACACGAGCCAGTCCAGCAGTAGGCACAGAGCCCAGACGGTCAGCACCTCGAGCTGCCGACGCAGCTGCAGGCACCCCGACCCCCTCAAACTGGACTCGCTTCGACGCCACCACATCACTACGAGCACTTCGCAGCGACTCGCACGAGACGCGCGCGCGGGGACTGCGCAATCTACACCTCCAGTGGTGGCACGCCACAATGGAGGAGATGGCACGAGCACTACGAGCAGCCAACATGCCGCGAGACATCCTCCATATCACCCCAACTGTGGTCAACAAATGCAGGGAGCGCCTCAAGCGGCTATCACCAGCACGCCATACCATCCCTACACACCGCCTTCCGTCGAGTACGACATCCGGCACTGATGGCCCGCATGACCCCCCACCTGATCTGCCGCGCCTCGCGGTGGCACAATGGCCAGGAGATCGCGTTTCAGAACGACTCGACGTTGCTTGCCACCATCCACCGTTCCTGGATTCAGTTGTTCGGCGCGACTCTGGCGTTCATCGCGGACCGCGAGGGCGAGGAGTAAAGTTGGATATTCGGGCTCCTCGTCAGCACGCTCTCATCGGGCAGCTAGAGCGCGGGGGTGCCGTGCCAATATTCGATTCGATGTCGGCGCGCGCTATCCACGCTTGCAGCAGCCTCACCCGCGCGGGCGGCGCTACACCGTGCAACGTCGTCGGCGGACGCCAGCCGCCTATGCTGCCACCACTCGAAGCAGACGAAGAGGGCAAGGCACCCGGCGCCTGCGGCACCGGCGCTGCGCCTCCAGCTTGGTGAGAAGCGCAGACCAGCCGACTGCAGTCTGCAGTGGCGCATCCGAGAGATCGCTCTGCAACGCATGATCGAGGCCACGTCGATCTCGCACGTCAACTGCGACCCCCAGACCTAGGCCACCGAGCGCGCAGAGGGCCGCCTCAACATTGGCGACCAGGTGGAGACCCACAGGCCCCGAGCACGATGGACGCGCTGGGCTGGGCCGGCTCCTCGGACGGTCATTTTCGCAGGCCCGCCTCGAAGCACGCGGGCGGGTGGCCAAGCACCGCCGGGCCGAGATGGCATGCAGATCGCAGGACGTCCAGGCCTGGATCGGCGCAGGTTTCGACTGGATGGGCACCGGCATGGCGCGATCAGGCCTGGCCTGGGACAGCGCGGGGACTATCTGGAGCACGTCATACCAGGCTCCTCGGCCAGGACCTTCGGCAACTGGGAGAACGCGAGGGGCGCGAAGGTCACCGCGCAGACCCGGCAGCGCCCCGACATCTTCGGCCTTGCGCCATCTGTCCTTGAGATGTTTTCAGCTGCCAGACGTCGATGAAGCACGTCTGATACGCGGCCAGACATGTGGGCCATTCGCTGGGCTGCACCCGCAGCACGGCGATCTGGCGGCCCCCTCAGAACACGAGCGACGTCCAGCAGAACCACCTCCAAGTTCGACACCCACCGGCTCATCGGCGAGCAGTGGAAGGAGGCTCGCATCATTCAGTTTACCTTGGGTGGCGAGCCGTCACTGGTAGCAGACGCCGGACAAGATCTAGACGGATCTTTCGACGACTGCGTCACCGACGTTCCAGAGGATCTTGCCAGCACCACCGAGGGCGAGTTTCCAGCAGCCCCGTCGGCTATACCCGATGAGACCGACAGCGACTTCTCCGGACACATCCAGCAGGTGAAGTTTGGCATTTCGGCGAGAAGTCAAGGGGGCAGAAGACTTGTTTCCAGAGCTCGAGGGGCTGGAGAGCGCCGACAGTCAGCAGGATATATACGTTGTTGTCGAGCACGCCGCGGCCGGCCTTGGCCGCGGGCCCCACAAGTGGCCCCAGCGCCTCCAGACACAGCGCCAGCGCCAGAGCATGCACGCGCAGCGCCACCACTACCTGCGCGGAGCCTCCTCGGACGACCACGCACGAAGGGAGAAGGCGCGCGGGGTTGCATCTTGATCCCAGGGGCGCGCGAAGCACTCCTGAGCTCCATCGAGGAAGCGCCCGGCGACTGCGCCGCTAGCTCTCCCCGCGCAGCCGCGCCCCACACCCACGCCGCCGCTAAGACCGCGGCGAACAACCGCGACGCCGACGTTCTGGCCAACAAAGAAGCGCTGAGGCTGTCAAAAGAGGTCGCAGCTGCCGTCCTCGAAGAGCCCACCATCTGGATCAAGTGCAAGCACGCGTCCGAAATTTGACGGGTTCCAGACGGCTCTCCAAGTGGAAGAACCGGCAGGTATCGGACGGCAAGACGGCCTGGGTCGCGCGACGTCGCACGGCGCTGAGCGGCTTCCGCGACATGGGCGTCGGAGCCCTGGAGACGTTCGCCAGGACAGCGAGGCACGCTTCACCGCGCATGTCGCTTAGGCGGCTCATCGCCCAGACCGGGAGCGCGTCGCCGCGGACGTCGAGCAGGCGCTCCCGCAGGGCATGACCTACGCCGAGATGCAGGAACATGGCGAAGCACCCCGCGAGGCGAGCTTCACCCTGCAACCCGGCAGAGCAGCCATCCTCTGGCAGGCGCCTGGCCACAAGAGCTATCACGCGCGGACCGAGTGCCTGCGCCGCATCGAGCTGGGCGCAGGCCGCAAGGAGGCGCCCCGAGCCTTCTCCGCGGAGCTCGCCCGAGCCACGCGCTCACGAGAGCGCAGCGCCACGCCCGTCTGGCAGGGCCCTGAGGTGAGATCGAGCACGCGACGTCGGGCGCACGCGGCACCAGCGCTTCAGAGTCGGCGCCCACGTTGTCCGAGCATGTCGACGATATGAAGATTGCTAGAGACAAGGAGCACGTCGAACGGCTGATCAGCCACGTCGAGAGCGCTTTCGGGAATATGAAAAGTGACTACGACGATTTCACCATCTGCAGAGAGCCAAGAACAAGCCCCCATCCGACACGCCACGCAGCTCAACCCAGTCGTTCTGGCAAGTACAAGACCAAGGCACGCATCGCATTTCCAGCCATGGAGCGCGCCAGGGGATTCAGCGAGCACTGCGACGGGTCGTTCAAGAGGGAGGAGGAGACGGCACTGGCGGACAGGCAAACAGGCGTGCCACTTGTTGGACGCAGCGGGTAGGTCGCACAAGCTGGCGCGCAGATCCTCGCTCGGTCCAGAGCTGCTCGCAGCGCGCGGCGCAGCCGATGGACTGCAGGCACAGCTCCTCGCGCTGCATGAGACGGCGCGCGGCCCCGCCTCTGCCGAGGAGATCAGGAGGCTGAGGGAGACGGGAAGTCACGCAATCCTTGCAAGTCTCGTCATTGGCGGCACGTCCGTCTTCAGCGCCCTGCCCATGGACCTTGCGCGGCCGCCCTCCGAGAACAACATGGCGGGCCACCTGTGGCGGTTAGCTGACCAGCTTCGCACCGTGCAGATCGAGGACTTCTCCTGGTGCGACACTCGGGCTCGGGACATTCGGGCCGACCCCATGGCCAAGGGCAGCATGGGACGGGAGCCCATCCTCAGCGTGATGGACAACCAGATCAGTTACGACCATGAGGCGGTCAAGTTCAGCGACGAGGTTCGGAAGAAGGCCGCCCAAAGCTCCCACCACAGCTCTTTCACCCAACCGTGAAGAGGCGATTCGTGTGATTGCGTCCAAAAGTCGACCACCGCAACCCCGCTCACTGGCACACGGATCGGCCTACCAAAGCAGCCACGAGATCGTCAATATTGCGGGAATTGGCGAGCGCCGCGCGCATGCCTGTGCTCCACCAATAATCTTTCGCCCGCAGCAGGCCTGCTACTACTGGTCAAGAATGCGGTGAGCAGAGCACCCCATATGTCACGCGCGGTGTCAGCACAGCACCCCAGCAACTGTTTAGTGCCAGCGAGTGTACGGTGGACCAGCTCGGCACCAGACTCGAGCGGTGTCTGTTTTGCATCATCCTTACCGGGTGTTGCTTGCGCCTTCCGTTGCCGACTGTAGTTTGGCCAGGCATCGCGCCCGCTTTTCGACACGCCATCGATTTTCCATTCCGCTGGGTAAAAGCACCCCGTTTTTCAGATCCACCAATTATATCATGCCCCTCCCTCTTCCTTAGCCTCGTTTTCCTCCTCCTCCGCCTCCTCTTCCTCCTCCTCCTCCTCCTCCTCCTCCTCCTCCTCCTCCTTCTCC